GGAGGCAGGAACGAATAGTAAAAGCTAATCAGCACAAGGTAAGGGGAAAAAATGGACTCAAATCCACATCTGTCTGTTGTCATTTCTGACTGGGACCATTTTGATCTCATCAAGATAAACCGTAATTGACATTCTAACACAAATCTTGCCCATCCCCTCATCCTCTGCTAGTACACACTGCACCACACACACACACACTCACACACACACTCACACACTCTATTATTGCTACTTTGTGTACACCAGAGGTCAGCAGTATTTTTCTGTATAGTAAATATTTTCTGATAGTAAATATCTTTGGCTTTGTGGACCATATGGTCTGTCACAATGACTCTGCTACTGTATCCTGAAAACAGCCACAGGCAATACATAAATGAATGAGTGTAGCTGTAAATAAAACTTTATTTACAAATGCTGGTGGCGGCAGGCTGGGTTTGGCCCATAGGCTGGAGTTTTGGCAACTGTCATACCATAGAAGGCAACAACATACAAAATTGAATCAGATACAAAATCCCACAAGACATGTCTAAATGTTAAAAAGCAACCAAGACAGTCTAGCAATATTGAAGCCAAACGAGAACTAGTTGAAAAATATTACAGGAGCGCTTGGGTGGCTCAGTCATTTAAGCATTTGCCTTTGGCTAGGGTCATGATCCCAGAGTCCTGGGATCCAGCCCTGCACTGGGCTCCCTGCTCAGCGGGGAGCCTGTTTCTCCCTCTCCCTCTGCCTGCTGCTCCCCCTGCTTGTGCTCTCTCTGTCAAATTGGTAAATAAAATCTTAAAAAAAAATTACAAAGAAGGCAGACCACACTGGCAACACGACATCACACCTACTTTAGAGTGTTGTCTTAAAACATCTGGGGAATCTGGTAAGTAGGAACTCACTAGCCCTTCAGCATCATGAGTGCAGAAACCACCTTTGTGTAGTAACCAGAACACAGTAGACACTTGATAAATATTTGTGGAAGGGAGGAATGATAAACCATCTCTATTTCCTGCATGGGCCCTCAGAGCAAATGCTTAAATGGTGAACCTCAGTTGCTTAGAATGACTACCAGAGGAGAAAATGATGATCTCTACCTTCCTGTACCAAATACCCTGTGATCAGCACTTCACATGTAACTTAATGTTAGCCTATATTCATTTTCATCAATTTCCCACCACAGTACAACAGGCAAAAAGACCATTCAATAAAATATCCCATTTCAAAGATGACCGCCTAAAAATCTAAGGTGTTTCCATGTCTGTAATAGGTTTTCTGCTCTGTATCTACAGCAAAGCAGAGGAAGAGAGCAGACATTTAAAAACATTTAAGCTTGGCAGTGCCGCTGGAAGGCAGCTAAGGTAGCCTGCCACTGCTCCTGGGTCAGTCCTTCAGACATAGTCACACCCTCCCATCGAAGAAACATCCCATGTTCAGTGTCTGTCCAACTCTAAGGGAGGGATGAACCTAACTCTTCAGAAGAGGGCGCCCCCAGGGGATGGGTGGCTGGGGGTTACTTACTTGCACTGGGGCGAAGCAGCCCGTGTTGGGAGGAGAGAGGGTGTGGGCTGGGCTGATGAAACTGTGAGCCTTTGCAAAGCACGAATGCAGTAGGATCACAGAGCACAGGATGGGACCGGCAATCAGAGGCCTCACCTGTCCACAGGGACTGCTAGCAAATTTTGCAGACTGACATCCCCCCCCCACCCCCCGCAACCCAACCAGGAGAACAACTTGAAGAGGAAAGACCCAACGTCCTATTTACACTGTCAGACTCAGAGGAGCAGACACCATCGATTGGGATGTGACAGAATGTCATGCCAAGAAGGAGTTTAGAGATCACGGTCACAGTTGTATCTGTAGTGCAGAAAACTGAGCCTTGAAAAGGAAAGTCACTTGTCCTGAGGAGGGACCTAACAAATTCCTATGTTTTACAGGGGACCCTGACAAATATCTGGTGCTAATGAATTGTAAACTGCTATTATTGAGTATATTTTGGGGTGAAATATTTGCTAATTCTTTGGATTCAAATCAAAAGTATAAGCATTTTGGCTTCCTGGAAGGAAATATTTTAAAAATATATATTCAACATCTGCTTCAGGGGCACTTCCCTTATGTGCATGGTGTGCGAGAGAGAGAGAGAGACAGACACACACACACACACACATACACGGTTGCTGCCTCCTGGACCTCTTTCAAGTGGAAATGGCCTTCAGACCTAAGTATGAGATAGGGTTCCTGCCATCACAGCATTTGTTGTTTAGTTAATGAGAGTGGACACACATTAAAAAAGAACGGTAGAAAGCAGGCTGTGCTCTGTCAAATGAGTGGCAGAGAGTAGGGCCAAAGTCAGAATTAACTGGCAGTGAGGACGACTGGCCATGGCCCTGAAGGAGAGTCGGTGCTTGGCCAAACTAAAGGCAAGCATGAGGGCATTCTCAACCAAGTGGGGCCAGCACAGGGAGGAAACCAGTTTGGCTGGAGTGGGGGATGAGGGCAGCTTAGACTGTAGAATCCTGTAAAAGGATTGAAGTGTGGGATAGACCGGCGCAGGAAATCGCACAGAAGGAAGAGGACTGGGGTCAGGGGGCTGGCCGAGGGAAGGAGGCGGCGAAGGGTGACCTGGAGTCCCTGTGGGCCTGCCTGATGAGATGCAGGAAGAGGGACATGTGCAAGCCACTTTAGCGGGTAGGGTAACAAGGACTCACCTGAAGCTACCTCACTACGGACGTGGCAAACTGCCTCATCGCGTTAGAGAATGCATCTGAAGTCTAGCTCTAGCTAGCTCTAGCTAGTCTAGCTCTCAAATCTTGCAATGTTCCTTTGCTTAGCAAACCCCCCATAAAATAGAAAACACAGATTTCCAAATAGAGTTGACATTAATGAAGTCTTCAAAAGAATACAGAAAACTGATGCAAGAGTCTGCACACAGCTTAAAGCTCAAGCAATAGTTTCTCTTCTGTATTCCAACAGCAAGTGACCAAATGACTACAGATTAAAAGAAGTTTTCCGTGGCAGGTTCCCACCTTCTTTCATGATATATTTGATTCCTGGACTCCTATGGAAGGATTTCAGAAAGGTCTTTGGACAAATGCAAAATGCACAGATTTCACTTAACTGTTTACTGAACATTTATAACTTCCGTGCCCGGCCTAGGGCTGAGGGTCTCAAGACGAGCAAACCTGGTCCCTGGCCCCGAGGTGCTTTAGCACACAGACTGCAGTCAGGGGGCAGGTCTTGGGGCATGGTCCGTCACTTCTGAGGGACTCCCAGGTTGTGACTGCCTAACGAGGACCTGCTGGATGAATGAATGAGGTCTGCCGGGATCAGGATGGCCGCTACTGGCGTCCATGCTCCTCATCTCCATGGCTAAGAAGGTGCGCTCGGATCCCCTTTGTTTTTGCTTTATTTGTGCTTCTGTGCATGAGATACCTGTAATCCTGGGGCAGGAAGGCCTGGCCCGGGGGTCCATAACACCACAGACAGAAAATAAGGCATCTTTTTTAGAATGTCCATTTCATTCAATGGTAAATTACTAAAAATACTTTTATATTAAACTCAAAATAGGCCCTACAACAGAACACGAAATTGAATCAAATTTAAAAAATAAAATCCAAGATTTAAAAGAAATGTCATATTGGCCCGAGGCTGCTTTGGGCCACGTACCCTGATCCTAGGGATAAACCTTCATTCTCCAGCTCAGGAGGGCCCTTCAGTGCAGAGCTGGAAAAGGGTTTCTGGTCTAGATCTTTACTGGCTATCACCATACAGGTTTTCTCTCAATGCTTTCCTCCGACTCTAATATTTAACAATGAGATCTAAAGTGGGGAATCCCACTAAAATCCTAAGCCGTAGGAAACCAGCTCAACTGCAGAAATCAAGTACTTTGGATGGCATGTATTATTAGCTTTTCTGCGCTGAGGTAGGTAAATCCCCAAATCTGAGATCCTTGGTGTTGCCAGTATTTTAATTAAATAATCATCCTGAGCTGTTAAGTCAAATCTCAAATTACCAAGGAGTACCTAGTGATTAAAATTAATTAGCAGTTCTAGCCATCTGTTCTCTCAGCTTCCATTTGATTTTACACCCTGCACAGGAGAAGCTCTGATGCAGGATATAAGGTTGCTTACCGACAGGATACCCCCTCTAGAGAATCTACATCTTGAAGGGAAGATGTTTAGACTCTCCCAATTACTAGGACAGGAGCAGAGAGAACACCTGAATCCAGTTCCTTTGTACTTAACTCAGACTTTCATAGGAAATGCTGTGCTTGCTTGAGTGCTACAGGACTGCTGCACACGGTTCTCCAGCCGGTCAGAGTCTGCAGGTCTAGAAGTGCCTACAGAATCCTGCCTTTATGTGTACTGAAGATCAAAAACATGTCTCAGTGTCTCGGCTTCCGCATTTTTTGAGAAAATCATCTTCAACTATGGCATTCTGTCTATACATGAGTTCAGCGTGTGTGTGTGTGTGTGTGTGTGTGTGTGTGTGTGCGCGCGCGCGCGCGCGCACGCGCGCATGCTCAGGATGGTGGTGTTGGGGGAGGCTGTGGGTTCACTGAGCGTCTGTCAGTAGCATCTGTCACTCTGGGTCTGAGACATCCCTCTGTGCTTCTCTGGCTCCCCTTGCTGCTGGCACGTCGCATACCAATGTCATTAGGCACTGTCTGCCCTGGTCCTCCTGCAATCCAGCCAGTGCACTTCCCGTCACAGCAAGCGCTTCCTCTGTCAGAGCAGACAAACTGACTGAAGCCACAGCCGGAAGCAGGCTGACCACAAGTGCTAAAGTTCTGGTTAGTTCTTTTCTAGGTAAAGTTGGAAAAGTCCCTGCAAAGGCAAACATTGAAGTTTTAGACACGGGGGCGGTACTGACCTCTTGAAATGTCCTTGACTGGAAAGAAGGAGGGTGTGTGTGTGTGTGAGTGAGAGACAGAGACAGAGAGGAGGAGGAGCGGAAGTTGGATTGTATGATGCAAATGCTAATCATTCTGAGAAGAGGTTTTTTTTCTTCTTCCCAGGTTCAACTGAAGAGGCTGTTCTAAGAAAGATGACTGAAGTAATCAATCACCTTCCTCAGAGAAAGTCCGCTCAGGTAGAATTTTGTTTACCGTGTAAACAATGGAACATTTATTGCCGAATCCCTTGTTCCTTTTTAGCCAGGCTAGAGAATTTAGATTTCTTGGTGGGGGGGCATGAGGATAAAAGAAATGGTCATGGGAGACAAGCTGGGTCCTGGAGAGAGAGACCCAGTGGCTTCTTGATTCTTCATAGCCCCCTCTGAGGAGAATCAAAAAGGTAAAGACTGTCCCTTCGACTCAGATGGCGAGTGTGTTTCTCCTTATTTTACCAAGCGGGATGAAAAACCAGGTTTTCCCAGAAAGCCTGGGGACACGCAGGGGATAGGAGTGACTAGAGAAGGGAGGGGGGCAGGGGAGGACTGAAGATCATCCTTAACTTTCCAAAAGCAGGAATATAGGACACTTAATAAACTTTAAATTACTTGCCCCTTTTATGGACAGGGGTGATTATTTTTACTGAAGAGGACTAAAATAATTCATTTTTAGAGCTCACTTTTGTAAGATTACAGCAAAAAACAAAACCCAGAATCTGTTGCTTTGGGTGAAAAACAGTGACAATGATCTCTAACTATGCTCAATGATTCTAAAATTGCTGTTTATAGGAAATATTATACATTAAAAACTACAGTAAAAAATGGATCCCAGCTATGGACACAGTCAAGAGATCGGGTTGGGGAGAGGGAGGGATGAACAGGCGGAGCACAGAGAATTTTTAGAGCAGTTAAACTATTCTGTTTGCTGCTGTGATGGGCATACACATCATTATACATTTGTTAAAACCTATAGAAGGTGCACCACCAAGAGTGAACCCCAATGGAAACTCTGATCTGTAATTAATAGTAATGTGTCATATTGGTTCATCAATTGAAACAAATACACCGCAGTAATAAAAAATGTTAATAATAGGGGAAACTGTGTGGGGGGGGTGAGGTGGGGAGGGAGTAGTATACGGGAACTCTGTGCTTTCTGCTCTGTTTTCATGTAAACCTAAAACTGCTATAAAAAATAAACTTCATTAAAAACAATGGCTCCCACACCCGGAATTTGATGACCAGTCCCAAATCCAAGGATCCACTTTGCTCTGTTCCAAAATACAGTGAACTCAGACCACATACAGCATCCCTACACTTCCCAGGTGCCTTTCTGCAACAGCCTTGTGACATTAGTTTGTCAGCAGGAAGAGGGATGGCCTGAATCAGGAGCTAAGGACTTCGGGTCACAACGCCCCAGTGCTACAAGACAGCGCGCCGGTGAAAGCGTCACTAACCGACTGGGGTCTCTGTTTCTGTTTTTTTGAGAAAGAGATCACAGGGCTGCCCCCACGGAGCTAGTATGAGAAAGTGTCCCAGAAGCTGGAAAGCATTAAGCAAAAGAATTATAAATCAGTGTCATCAGCCTGAGGTCACAAAGCTAGTCTAGAGTCGGCCCGGAATCCAGATACTGACTCCACGTGTAGTGCTTGACTCCCAGGTCCGGTTAGTTCCTGCCTTTCTATGGGATTCCATGTTAGAGATACACATCTCTCTTTGACCAGCACAGCCACGTGAAGGCTGCCCACAGTGCTCCCAACTTTAGGTGTCAGAGGGGTTATATAATCGTCAGCTGGTCTGGAATGACCACTTAGCCTTCCCAGACTCAGTTAACAGTTGTTCTTGGACCATACAGTGTAACAAAGACGGGCCCTTGCCAGTAGAGAGAACCACACCCATTTCTGATGAAATCCCTAAAAGCCAGCTGCAGAATCACGGTTTTCAGTCATTCTAGGCCCTCAGGTGAAGTGGTTTCTGGGCGCCCTGGAGACTTTGAGAAAGCAGGGCTTGCCACGCAGAGTGGCGTGGCTGGGTCCTGGGCACCTGGGCTGCCAGGCAGAGGAGGAGGGTAAGGTGGGGCTGGCAACCGCTGTCAGACAAGGCAGGGTTGGCCCAGTGGAGATTCCCAATAAAGAACAATTAGGGTACCTTGCCCTTCTCTCGAGCTGGCTCATGACATTTTGCTTAGGCAACTTCCCCTGCATTTTCAGTTAGCTAAGAAATCTACCAGAACGTTCCCAGAGGTTATGTATGGGATTTTAGCAATTTCTATTGGTTTTCCTCTATTCTTTTTTGGGTTTCCTGACTTTTCAACTTTGATCTCTTAGTACCTTTATAAAGTAATGGTTTTTGTTTTTTGTTAAGCCTACTTAAATAGCTTTCCAAATTTCTTCGCTGTTGTTTCAGGAAAAAAATACTTGGCATTTATCTTTGAACCTACAGACACATACACACCCATAAGCCTTACTAAGCTATTTCACATACAACAAACAGTGTTCTCTCTAACATATAAACCCATCCTGTGGGTTTATATGTTGGCAAACTCTTGACTCAAGCGGTTTTACTTAAGGTCAGCCCTGCCTAGATAGACTCAAAGAAGAGAGGAGAAAGCCCTCTCTCTTACTCTTCATAGACTCCAGCAAGAGTTGAGGGGCAAGTCACCAGCACTGTCACTGCCGTGAGAATGGCTTGGAAGAAAGGCGCCACACAGCTTGAGCTCTTAAGGGTGAAAGAGATCATCAGCTATGTGCAGATTCTCTCAATTCCTCAGTCCTTTCCAAATCCCCCATTTTACTCACCTGCCCTGTGCCCTCTGACCCCAAAGATTGACTAGCTTGTTCCCATAGGTCTCCTCTCTCCCTCCTGACACCTACATCCCTGCTCTTGACAAAGACCCTCTTCAGCAGTTCATGAACTCCTACCGGCACTTCGCAAGTTGCTTCACTGAACCGTAGCACTAAAGATGGCATAAGAGACCCTTTGGTTCAACTTTACTTTATAGGTGGTCACACGAAGGCCCTGAAAAGAAGTGGGTTTGTGAAAGGAGAAGCTGAGAGCCTTGTCCACCTGTGTAAGCTGCATACACGCAGGACTACACCTACAATTCCCACATTCCTTAGCAGCACGCTTGCAGGCCTCGTTATCAGGAGGTATCTTAAAGACTCCTGAGTGTAGGCACAGTTAGCCCTTGAACATCATGGAGGTTCAGAGGCACTGACTCCCGCACCGTGAAAATCTGCATAGGGCTTGTGACTCCCCAAAAACTTAACGACAGCCTACTGCTGACGGGCATCAATAGTCAACATATTCTGTATGTTCTATGCATTACATACTGTGTTCTTATAATCAAGTAAGCTGTATCAGTTACAATCAGTGTCTAGGAGGAAACGAAGGAGTTTCGAGTGCAGTTAGGGTGTCTGGGACGGCAGGCAACCAGGAAGGCAGCCCGGTGGGGTCAGCACTGGGGCAAGGAGCGGAAGGCAGGTCCAGCGTGTGAAGGGGAGAAAAATACATTTCTGGAGTTACCATGTCTGCTGAGTTGGGGGAACTGTGTAAGCAGGTACTTATGTACAGACACAAGCATGTGCAGACATCCTTGGACCAGCTCACAGTGGGGAGACCAGCACCGGTGGTGAACGCAGTCTTCAGCTGACTGGTCGAACAGTTGCTGCGTACAGCGCTCCACGTCTGCACGGGCTCGCTGGGTGGACCGCATTCCCTGTCCGCTAAGTTAGCACAGAAAGCCCTCTCAGGCAGATTATGGCTCTGCCCCACTCCACTGTTACCAACAGTGCCTCACGCACCCTCTGTGACGGTCAGGCTGTGCAGAGTTCGGAGGACAGTGCAGACCTGGGGTCCCAGGGCCAAGTGCTTCATAAGAAGAAGGAGGCACCTGTGAAGTGCGCAGCGGGACAAGGGGTGACTTCAGAGCCTCTAGACGAGAGGGCAGAGCGTGTGGTAAGCGCGGGCGGGGAAGCACAAGCCCAGCAACTGCCCCATCCCGCTGGCACCGCCGCGAACCCGAGCTCAAGTGCGGAGGGTAGGGCGAGAGCCCGTCTGGCTGGCTGGGAGGCGAGTCCAGTGCTGCTGACGCGCTGTTTCCAGCCACTGAAGAGCAAGTGCCAAACCCCTCTCCACGTCTCCCTTGCTCTGATATTCTCGAACTCCTCCGTGGTGCCGGCTAACTTCGGGAGCATGCTGGGAATCGTATTGGAGAGGCTCACAGGCCGCATCCTCACGCACGGCTAAGGACTTCTGGAGCCCAGGGGACATTTTCATCTAGGCGTGCGGCCCCCCTAAGTCAGGCAGGGAAGCTGATGATACAGCACGACCAGTGCCGAAATCGCTGTCCCAGGAGCTTACCAAGGCACTCCCTTCCTCCCAGCATCCTCCCTGGAATTCCATAATAAGAGTCCGAGCCCATTACTGCACATCTGCCTGGAAGCAGCCTGCCCGGCATGTGATGAAGCACAGATGAGGGGGATGGGTGGGGGGGAGGTGGCTGCACAGGCTGCTGACCTCTCCTGGACTCCCAAGTCCTGGCTGCTAGGGACTCCCGAATTCTCACTGCGTGGGGCCGAGACCCTCCAGGACGGCTGTGTCCACACGGACATTCCCGGCTCACACCGGCTCACACCGCCCCTGCCAGCACCCCTCCCCTGCAGACTTCCAGGGCCTTGCTTTTATCTGATTAGGAAACACCACTCATTCCTGCTCTCCTGTTTCTGTGTTTCTGTGCAGAGCGATTCCCTTTGGTCCCTTTACCCAGTTCCTCCGGGCAGAAAGCCACTGCCCTCACTTTGGAAAGTGCCTGTCTGCAGACTTCATAGCACCAGGCTCTCTCTCGGGTCAAGAAAGGTGCGAGACTTGTGTCAGTTCCCCTTTTAAAAGAAGGCAGTGACTTGTAGGTAATTCAGTTCCCATTTTGATCTTTTGCCCTTGTTAACACATTGCTTTCTGACTGTGCTTGCTTCCTGTGTCTTCTTATCGAATACAGATAAACACAAGTGCTGAGGCCAGATGCCCTATGGCTTTCAAATCTTCCTCTTAGATGTTTAGTAGTGCTTTATTTGCTAAAAGAATTTATTTGCTTGGGAAATTTACCCAAGAGGTCTTTTCCAACCAAAAAGAGCTCTCTCTCTTACATGGCTTTTTTGATGCAAATTGACTAGGGCTTTCAGTAAAGCATTTTCCAGGAATGCAGGCTCCTGGACTCGGCCTTCCTATCTGGGGCACTATTTTCTAAGAGCATTTCACTGGCTGACCTGATACTACTTTAGACTTGGAAAATTGTTTCTTTGCTTTTATAACCCTATACAACTAGTTTCTGAAGAGGTCAAGTGAATTAATACAAGATGGAACAAACTGGAAAATCTCTAGTGGAATAGTGTGTGAGCATGAGAGAGAGAGAGACGGAGGGATGGAGGGGGCAGGGAGAGAAGTCAAGAGCGGTCTATTTTCACTGTGAGAAAAAGTCAGCACCAGGCTTAAAGGATGATGGATCAGACATTCTAATTATCAGGGAGTTCTAACTATGCAGATGAGTCACCCTGGTGTGGAAGCCCGTCTGTCTATGGTTCTGGCGAATCTTCCTTCCCCTTTAACTTAGACACCTCTCTGCCCTCAAATAGTGGCCACCGAAGGGAGTATCATTCCCTGTTCCAGGCTCAGGGGAGGGTAATGACGTTTCTCAGATTTTACCAAGTCCGAATTAACCCCTATTTCAGATACACCCTTTGCAAGAGTTGGCTCTGCCTCTCCCCAACTCTCGTCCTGTCTGCAACCCCCTGGACTATTCGACTCCAGGTGGTTGCCTAACCAGCAGTGCTGGCAGCAGCTCAGAGAGCTAACACGCATCGAATGCACCGAGCTTCCATCTCGCTGGTTTGTGCATTAGCCAGTCACCATCACCCAGGAGGTCCTTCTCCCTACCCCAGTGGGGCCTTTGCCGGGCCTGGCCTCTTTTGAAGGTGGCTAATTCTTCTGGGAGATAAGCCAGTCCAAGGCAGGAAAACCAGACTCAGCCTGACCAACGGCGGCACGTCCTTGACACGGAGGGTTGTGCGTGAACACAGAGGGAACCACG